GCAAAGGAGAGGATACGAAAAGGCTCAAGAATGAGTCTGTCCTTGACGTCAGAGAGTACGTTCATTGTAAGGATGAGGTAGACGAAAACATGGAAGACCTAGCTAAGCATTCTCAGTACAACAATTGCCACGACGGATGGCATTGAGCATGCCCACCATACACCCCCCGACAAATGGAATGTCGATTGCAAGCCAACATAAAGGAGGAACGCTCACCACAAAATTCCATGCCTTCACTGTAGTGAAACGGTTTTCACCTTTGCAGAGGCAGATGCAGATTCCAGGGTTCAGATCCCCAGACCTTACTTTGCCCATGTACAGTATCGAGTCGACACCCGAGTGTTTGAATCCGTGACCTGTGTTTTAGTAGTTGTTCGTCATCTGTTGTAGGTCTGTGTAGTAGTAGGGGTTCGATCTGTAGGTCTGTCAGTTAGGAGTCACAGCTTGTAGAGGTCGTACCTGTAGGTGTTCTGAAAGGTCAAGGTCATAGCTGCTACAGTCCTGAAAGGTCAAGGTCCTAGCTGCTACAGTATCCGAAAGGCCAAGTCCACAGACTTCCGGAAGGTCCGGAGTGGCCTTTCAAAGTGTATCACGTTTAGTCAGAGGCAAGTGGGCAAGTGGCGAGCCTTCAGTCAGAGGGAAGCGGGCAAGTGGTGAGCCAACTGCGTTACGTCGGCGGTGCGACTGCATCGAGTTGGCAGTCCAAACCCATGCAGTCAACAGTACCGGTAAAGTCAGTCCCAGTCCAGTCCAGCAAGTACCAAGAGGGACTGTGTGCACTATGGGCCGATGGAAAGGGGCAGACCAACGAGTTACAGAAGTATAAATCAAGAGGCAGTGCTCAGCCATACATTCATTCGCTGCTTAAGCCATGCGGAAGCGCTGTTACAGCGTCTTGTACGAAGGTGGTCTGCAGGTTGCCCGAAGACGAAGTGGGCTGAAGGGAGATCGTAGCCATAGTTAGTAGTGGTAGTGCGGCCATAGCCGCTGTAGGAGGAAGTTAGACAGAGTGTATGTGTGTGGTGGTATTCAGGGTGATCCAGAGTGAGCGAGTGTGAACAGTGGGGTTGGACACAGTGATGAAGGTTGGGAGGTTCAGGCGCTGATGCGCCATAGCTTGTTGAAGAGTACTTGCATCTGAACTGTGTTCTTGATTTCCATATCTCTAAACTTTGAGTGGGCGCCCTGCGCCACTGTGAGTCTCCATCTGTTTGCATGAGTGCGAAGTGGAAGGAAAACAAGTCTGATTGCATTGGTATCGGAGCTGGTTCCCGTTACCCCACACCCAATCGCCGTTGCTAGCAGGGAAGAAGACGCGCGCCAGTCAGGCGCCATAGCTAAGGTGTATCATTGAAGAAGAATCCACCATAGCTCTGCTGCGGAGTGAAGCGCCATGTACCTGCACCTGTCTCTTATACACATCTAGATGTGTATAAGAGACCAGAGAGAGAGAGAGAGAGAGAGAGAGAGAGAGAGAGAGAGAGAGAGAGAGAGAGAGAGAGAGAGAGAGAGAGAGACAAGATTGTTGTGCGGACCAGGAGAGAAACGGCCATAGCCGCGGAGCTCGAACACAGGGCTACCAAGAGAGAGGCAGGTGAAGTGAAGGAGAAGGAAGAAGGGACGAAGGAGAGAGGAGGGACAACGAAAGCAAAGGAAGCCATAGCCGGGGATGCTGCAGCAGGTGAGCGGTGTCGTCCTCCACCCTACATCTCTGCCTGCATTGTGCACGGGCCTGGCCATTTCGTGGCCATTGTTCATGCCCCTGACCACTGGGAGGTGTGGGACAACGGCATCATGGTCCGCGTCATGACTGATGTTGCTGATTTTTCTTATAAAACGGTGCTGTTTTCTGTCCCTCGGGACATCCGTTAAATTTGGAACGACACAGAGAAGATCAGCATGGCCCCTGAGCAAGGATGACACGCATAAATCGAGAATTGGTCCCAATAAAACAAAAAAACAAAAACAGGAAACGATGCTGTTTTCTTGCCACTACTGAGTACAAACTGTCCTCACACTCTTTGATGTCGGAGAGCATTTTGCTGGCCCGGTGCCGCAACAGGACAATGTATCGACACTCTGCGCGCTTCTCCTTTGCACAGCTACAAACACTGTTACACTCGGCTGCAGCTGTCATCGTCTCTGTCACAATCACTACAGTGATATGCTTGCTGCGTCCGTGTGTGCAGAGGACTTGCCCTCCTTTCCTGACTGCATGCACCTCTGCATCCAGACACTTTTATGTCCATTTTGTGGCCATGGGAGTTACACTAACAAGTAGTAAACAAATAAAAATAGGTATTATGTCCATTTTGTGGCCATGGGAGTTACACTAACAAGTAGTAAACAAATAAAAATAGGTATTATGGTACCATTAAAGAAAGGAGCTCCAGTGGAAACTTCTCTTTGAGCTAATAGATGAAAAAGCACAGGTGCCGTGGTACCACAGAGAACAACAATGCATGGTATTTTGTGGTGCCCGTTCTTCCTTCGTGTTGGCCTGCAGTCGACATGCCATTTGTCGAGAGTGTCTGGTGGTCATGCTTAATGCCAGCCCCTTTGGCAATTGTTGTACTGAGAGCGCTCAGCTAGATCTTCCATGTCCTCGTCCATCTCATGCCACTACAGAGTTACACACTGTCCGAACACTTCTTTTTTTGTTTTTTTGCAGAAGGCCGACGGCCTGGAGATACCATAATATAAGTGACTGGCGCCAGGTAATTCAGAATTATTGAGTTCTGTTCGATTTCATCTTGAGCGGAACCTGGGTCTATATTTCAACAGTTCATGGGATTATCAACTGAGCTAGTATCCACACACTCTTTTATGTTGAAGAGCATTTCGCTGGCCCGGTGCAGCAACAGGACAGTGTATCAACACTCTGCACCCTTCTCCTTTGCACAGCTACGAACACTGTTACACTCGGCTGCAGCGGCCATCGTCTCTGTCACAATCACTACAAAGACATGGTTTCTGAGCCCTTGTGTGCAGAGGATTGTCCGTCCTTTTCTGACTGCGCGCACCTTCCCCATACAGACGCTATATGTCCATTTTGTGGCCATGGGCGTTTTAGTGAATGCGTGCTCTTTTCTGGGGCCCGTTCTTCCTGCATGTTGGCCTGCAATCAACATGCCATTTTTCGGGAGTGTTTGGTGGACATGCTCAATGCCATCCCTCGTTGCAAATGTTGTACTGAGAATGCTCAGCTAGGTCTTTCATGTGCCCATCCACGTCATCCTTACAATGTATGTCCTCTCTGTCATCAAGGACAGACTGATTCTTGAGCCTGCTCTTACCATTTCCTTAGCTTTCATCATCATTCCACAGTCCTGTATCTTAGTAAGCTATTATTATAGAGTAACCTGGGTCTCGCATGACGTGCCCACACGAAACCCGGCCAGCAGGTGTGACGACGGCATTTTCCCAGCTAACGTAGTTGGGAAGCAGCCCGAGGTTTGGCGGGCTCGTTTTTCCTTTTTTCGCCTTGACAGGGATCACGTTTTTGCGATTTGTTCTTTTTTTTCTTTCTGTGCCGTGGGAGGAAGCGAGCTCGAATCTTCTTTTCTTTTCCAGATCGAGGCAGAAGGGCGATGCTGGTGTGCGTCCTGCATGCCAGTATTATCTTTGTAAGCACATTATGTCCTCCATGAGAGTGAAGCCTCACATTTTGTGCTAATTCATCTGAACGACTTGAACAACCTTTTTTTTTTTTCCGTTTTTGGGCAGGGTTGTCGTAGTGTGGGCTTCGGGTGCTGTCGGGTTTTGTTTGCGTTTGTTGCTTTTGGTGGACGTGTGAACACAAGTACATAGCAGGCCAGTCGGGATGGATAGAAGACACGTCAATGTTGGCAATCAGGTCTGTAGCTCAAATCCGTGTAGAGCTCACCCCAATCGGAAAGAAAAGAGTTCGATATTGTTGTTGCCCTTTCTGGTGTTTGCCTTGCCCGTCTCTGAGTTCTGCTCAGCAGTCCATAGCATGCTGCACAGGAGCAAACACATAAATGTTAAGTAAGAGCAGAAGTGTCGATGGGGAGGGCTCAGTGATTACAGCTGGTAGTCATGATGCTGGTTGGAATGGTGGGGACCACTTCCCGTTGCATGACAGGTTGCCATTGGATGTGGGTAGGGACCACAGCGCAATCTCCAGGCTGCTCCACCACATCTCTCCCATTGCAGCAAGTCCTGAAACTGGTCCAGGAACTGGTCAGAGAACCTGCCGGGGAACTGGTCCAGAACTGATCCGGAACTGGTCGGGAACAGGTCATGGATGGGAAGGGTCCGATACAGAAGTGGTCTGGAACTGGTCCAGAACGCGTCTGGAACTGGTCCAAAAACAGTCTGGAACTGGTCGGGAACTAGTTTGGAACTGATCCTGGAAACTGGTCCTGTAACTGGTCCTGGACTGGTTTTGAACTGGTCCTGGAAACTGGTCCTGGAACTGCTCTGGAATTGGTCCTGGAACTAGTCCTAGACCTGGAACTTGTCTTGGAACTGGTATTGGAACTGGTCCGGGAACTGGTCCTGGAACTGGTCCTGGAACTGGTCCTGGAATTGGTCTTAGAACAGTTTTGATGCTCAATACTGCAAGTGACCGGCACCCTGTGTACTTTGAATAGTCTGTTCTTGTATCTGCATCAATGGTGGGCTCTGCCACTTGTTACTCCTGGAACTGGTCCTGGAATTGGTCCTGAAACAGTTTTGATACTCAATGCTGCAAGTCAACATTGTGTGGCCATCAGCAAGCACTCAGATGTCACCTCCATTATAGGATGTCCTGGACCTTTTTTTGGTGTGCAATTCTGCAAACATGTGTACTTCGAACGTAAACAAGTGCGCTCAGTGCCAACATGGTGACACTGTTCCTGTAGCTGCACCAATGGTGGACTTTGCTGCGTCTGTAGTCTGTGGCGTGACGAGGTTGTCTTGCTATCAGCAAGCAATGAGGATCGATATATACCGTTGGCCGACGTGAATGGCGTTTCGTCGTCTTGTTGTTGCAGGCTCTTGGTGGCGAGGGGCATCCCGTCAAGCGCACGACTGTGGCTGTCAGCTATTCAGGACAACCTTGGGGCCAGCTCTAGCCTTGAATCTGAACTTGCACAGCAATCGGTGTCTACATTCGAGACGACAAACACCACGTCGGAAGGCAGGAGTTCATGGGGCAGTCGAACCTATCCAGGTGAGGGATGGTGATGATGTGAAGGACGACGTTGAAGCCGAGGGCAACGAGGAATGGGCTGGTGAGTTTGGTGATGATGACGTTGTTGTGGATTATGAGAACGATGATGGGGAGGAAGAGGGTATTGTTTCTTCCTTGGATGGAGGATCAAGGGGGAAGAGGACAGCGGATGATGGAATCGGGGAGGAGGAGGAGGAGGAGGAGGAGGAGGATTGGGATGAAGAATGGAGTGCGATGGGGGACGAGTGTCTGGGAGGAATCGATCTCGGCGACAGTGGAGAGCTAGGAAAAACAGCTCTCGCTGTTGCGGAGGGTATTCTGCAAGATCACCCTGGCTTTAGCAGTGACTTTTCGCTTTACGGCTTACAGGTCGCCGAGAGGTCATCGTCAGCCAACATCCGGGTCGCTCTCGACAAGCTATCGGATGTTTACGGGGCGCCAACCTGCGAGGAAATGGAAGTGTACTTGGTGCTCTACTGGCAGAAACTGAAGGATGAGGTTAGACTTCTGAGGACAAGTGCGAGGGGCGCGAGACGTGAAGGGCCCTTCAGTCAGTATCCCGACCCCGACGACATTCACGTGGAGGTAACGTCGCCGGGGGTGGAACGAGAGGTCAAGGTACCCTCAGAGCTCCTTAGGTTCAAGGAATTACCAATGACTGTAGTCTACCGAGAGAGGACCGTGCGCAGCGGCGATGGTATGGGGGTTGAGAACGGAGAGACCAGCCATAAGAAAACAGCAGGCGGCGATAGCGTGGATCAGAATAGGGAAGCAGCTACGGAGGTAGAGGATGAGGCAAAGGGTAGGGAGGAGGGAGTAGTACCTGTTATGACAGAGTGGGTAGATGAAGGAATAGAGAGGGAAGAGGTTCTTTCCTTTGTCGAGCACGATGAGGTATCAGGTACGACCATCTGGCAGGTTGCTGACGTCAGATTGAATAGAGAAGCAGGCGGTAGGAAAGGTACAAAGCTGACTAGAAAGCAGAGAGATAGAAGGATAGTCATCCCGTTAGGCGATTTGTCCTTTGTTCGGTTGTACCTGGACTTTTGAATTTTAATTCTTGTGCAGATGTGTATGCCACTTCCAGTCACAACAACTTTATTGAAGTTCAGGGCCTCGCTCCACTGCTCACCACATGCACAAAGGACAAAATACGGTGGTGTATCTTTCCATGTTCCAGCGGAATATTCATTTTCATTTTGCACATTTGGTGAGAAGTGGAGCGAGCCCCCTATTTCTCTGCTGATTCCTGTGGGGTCTGCCTGTCAGGGTGACGGGGGGGGCTTGGGGGGTTAAGGGGCGTTTGGGAGCGGAGGTCTTTGCCTGCAGTTGCTCCTGTGGAGAGTGACCCATGTAACCCTGCCGATCTTTCGGCCGTGTGAGTAGAATGCAACATCTGTCTTTTTTTTAATCATTTTTTATTTGAAAGTAAGATACCATGTCATACTAAAGGCAAAGTAACAATTTTGAGTGTTGAGTGATTTGCAGGGCGTCTTTGGGTGTATGTCAAATGGATTAAAAAAAGTAAAAAAAGTTGGTATCGGTACTTCATTACAAGATCACGCCATACCGACGGCAGAGTAGTACCTGTGAGTGTGTACAGCTATCGAGAGCTGTTTTCGGCTGTATAGAATGTATTTAATATGAAGGTTGTTTTTCCGGTCGCCCGGGCACCCAACTTGTGCCCGGATACACGCCCAGGTGCCCGGCCAGGCATGACCCCCGGGCAGGGTTCCGGGCATCCCCAGCGAACGGAAGTAAAAAAAATCCAGAAAAAAAAAATGTTGTGTAGAATTGCAATACAAACAACTTTTGGCTGAGGGTCACATCAGAATTCGTCACCGAATCGAAGATAAAAAAGCAATAACAAAATCGCACTAAGGGATCCCCCTTTAACCCCCCTTAACCCCTTTGAGAACAATTTATACCCCCCTTCCCCCCCCTTTGACAGCCAACTCTCAAAAACTGAAAAGAGCCCGGATTTGAGGTCCTCTGGGAGAGCGCAGAAAGGGCTTTTTTTTTTTTTTTTTTTTTTTTTTTTTGTACGCCCGGGTATCCCGGGTGTCAGACCCCCCCGGGTGCCACGTCGGGGTGCCCGACTGGGCATGAAAATCTTCCTAGTTTAATATTTATTAAAATCAATAAATTATCTTTAAAATTTTATAATATTAAACAATTTTTTTGTTAAAAAATATAAATAAAAAATACAAACATGGTTCCATTTTATTAAGGGCCCAGTGCCCAAGGTAAAAATACAATCAAAGTGAGTTGCAGATTCAGGGCCCACAAGGTCTCCCGCCTCACTCAGGAAGCGGAGCCCGTCCCCTGTGAATAAAGGAGCCGAAAAAGAAAAATAAGAAAACGAAATAATTTCAGAAAACCGTAGCTGTTTCAAAGCAGGAATTCCTAACCCTTGTAAATCCGGGAAAAAATCAGTATTCAACTAATTCCTAAAATTACACGTAGCCACTTTTGTTTTTTGCCAAAGGCGGCAGACACGATAAAATCCTAGGCTACCAGAGTGGCCCGGGACCATTTGCCAAACCAGGCCAAAAAAAGTAAAGATAAAAATGGTTTTGTACTTCAAATTTGGTAAAGAATTTCGATGTAACCCTGAGCCAAAAGTTGTTCAGTTTTTTTTTTTTTTTTTTTTTTTTTTTTTTTTTTTAATTACTCCATTCTATTGGTGGGGAGCTGCACCTGCTGGAAAATGGGTCCAGCGTCCCTTGTATCATGAGTGTACATCAAAAACATACTGCCAAAGTGTCTTGCGGGAGAACCCAGTCGTTTTTTTCGTCCCACAAGTTACGAGAAAAAATTACCCGATTGTTCTCATTGAGTGAAACCCACTTGTATTCTGAGGCCCAGGCTTTCAAAAACGAGGACTGAGCCAGATCTGTCAAGGGAGTCCCTGCTTTCTTCTTCCTATATTCTACCAAAATCAGATTTTTTTTTTTTACTTTTCTGCATAATGAAACAGTATTCACCTGTTAGCAGTAGCGGATGCAGGTCCCAGGGCTCGATTTTTAGTCCTCACTTTACCTGTGTACAGTATCTGTATCGACCCGAGTGTTTGAACCCGTGACCTGTGTTTTGATAGTTGTTGTCGTCTGTCGTAGGTCTGTGTAGTGGTAGGGGTTCGATTTGTAGGTCTGTCGAGTAGGAGTCGTAGCCCTGTAGAGGTCGTAGCTGTAGGAATCCTGAAAGGTCAAGGTCGTAGCTGCTACAGTGCTGAAAGGTCAAGGTCGTAGCTGCTACAGAACTCGAAAGGCCACTCTCTCACGTTTTTGTCAAAGGCAAGTGGCCAAGTGGTGAGCCCAGCTACGTTACGTCGGCAGTGCGACTGCATTGAGTTGGCAATGCAAACCCATGCAGTCAGCGGTACCGGTCCAGTCAGTCCCAGTCCAGTCAATCAAGTACCGTGAGGGACTGTGTGCACCATGGGCCTGGGGAAGAGGGGCAGACCAATGAGTTGCAAAAGTATAAATCAAGAGGCAGCGCCCATTCATTCATTCATTCCTGTGTAAGCCATACGGAAGCGCTGCCACAGCGACTTGTGCGAGGTGGTCTGCAGTGAGCCCGAAGACGAAGTGGGCGAGAAGCAAGCTTAGCCATAGCGATAGGGTAGCAGCAGCCATAGCCACCGTTGCTGATAGGAGAGAGAGTAGCGTGTGTGAGTGTGCGAGTGTACAGTGTGTTGTGTGTGGGATATCCAGGGTAATCCTGTGTGCGAACAGCAGTGTTGAGTAAGTGACGAACAGAGAGTTGTACAGGCGATGTGCCGCCATAGCCATTCGAAGTGAACTTGTATCTGAGCTGCGTTTTTGGTTACTATATCTTTCAGTTCTGAGTGGACGCTTGTCGCCAGTTTGCTGCGCAACCTGTTTGAATGCATGTGAAGTGTGAATGAAAGTGAGTATGATTGCACTGGTATCGGAGCTGGTACCCGCTATCCCATGCGCCATGGCCGTTGCAGCAGGAGAGAGACGCGCGTCGTAGTGCGCCATAGTTGAGGAGCGCCGTTGAAGAAGGAAGTTCGCCATAGCTTGTTGCGGAAGAAGGTGCCGCGTACCTGCAAGGAAGACAACGACGAAGAAGACACACACACACACACACACACACACACACACACACACACACAGAGAGAGAGAGAGAGAGAGAGAGAGAGAGAGAGAGAGAGAGAGAGAGAGAGAGA